ACATTGTTTACAGATGAAGATCATTGTCTTCATATATTGCACAGTTGTTTATTGTTTTAGTCTTTAAGTTAGATAGATATTGAGAATTATATAGATTAATAGTCATCTAAGTTTGTCATTTGTAATTAGACTAATCAGGTTCTTTAGATATATAGAGATTATACTCAGTATAGATAGATAATCTTCAACCTCTTTGGAGAGCTGTAGAATATGGCCTTTAATATAACTCAGAGTTTCGTGATAGTGAGACACAATTGCTCCTGGCAACACCGCTCTATTCCCGAGAGAACGTTGAGCACCAAAGACACTCCACTGGGAGCTTGTCTTCTTGGCAGAACTGGCCTTTGGGTTAAGAAAAGCCCATACCTCAACCACTGACAAAGATACAGAGCGTGCATCAATGGATACAACAGGACTGTCATATCCTGCCAAGACAGGGTAAGATAGTTTTGAAAAGTTCCTTGCCTTTAATAATGGTATGTCAGTTATGTTAGGCCTTAGCCAAAGTTGGTTGACTCAACATTGCAAACGAGACTTTGGGTGATTGCTCAGGTAGTCAGTTGTCTTTGTCAATTGTTACACATTTGGATCGTTTGTTAAGTAATATTTATTGCCTTCTCGGATCTTTGATGGAGTTGAAGATTATATAATTGTAGTTACTCTCTACATTATTTAGACTCCTTGAGATAGAATGTTTAGCAAAACTTTTGATTCTCAATATTGTTTGTTATATTTATTTGTTATTATTGTATATAGTTGTATTTGGTTTAGTTCTGTCTTATTTAGACAAAAGGGGGAGATGTAGGGATAAGTCCCACCCCTTAGGGGGCGTGTTCGCCTCAGGCTAAAGTTCTCCTATAAAATTGGTGAGCGTGCTCCCAGCGCTCTCTTCTGCTTTCCTGGTCTCCGCGGGAACAGTGGTTCTGTAAGTCTATTCCTCCATTAAAGCTGTCTATATTTTGACAATCTGTCTGCATTCGCTTACGCCGTTACATAAATCCTCGGAGCTAGATTCTGAGTGCACATTGTGAGTAAATGACGTCATTTCTGTTGGTCTTCCTTTCTCTAGCTGTAAACTGAGGTGGCACTGGTGACAAGGCTTCCATGTGTAACAGTTTCCAAAATATTACCAATTGGGAAAAACAAATAGATTTTTAACATTTTATTTATTTTCAAATCACAACTTTTGTAGATTCTTTGTTTGGGGGCCAAATTTCTCTTCCTGCAATCATCAGGACGTGCCTATTTCTAAAAAGAAAGATTATCCATTTGAGCAAGATCCAAATATTTCTTGGCATTCATCACACACAATGGTAGTTTAAGGAGTACTGCAAAAATAAGGAGAAACCAAAACCATAGATTTGGCTTTGCACAAAAATGTATGCTTTCGGGCTTTATCTTAATTACCTAAAAGCCCATGAATATTTCCCAATTTTGCTTCCTAGAAACTGTAGTAAAATTTAATGTAGTGGATGGGAGACACAGAGAAATGCAATTAACACTTCTGGTTACCTTCAATACCGAGGACATTTTTCACTTTGTTTTCTTCAGAAACTTCAAATTTCTTTATGATGTCAAGACAATAGTCCACTGTCACGTTACTCATCTAAAGAAAGCAGAACAGAGAGAAAGCACCGGCAACTTCCATGAGCTGTGTCCCCCTCCACTGCAGCAAGATGGGCTGACTAGGACCCCTCGCTTGGCATACATCCTTTGAGTAAAGCCCATAATCATGACCACACCACCAGGAAATATGGGTAAGTACACAGAACTGCAAAGTCTCCAAGGAGCTCCAGGGATTCAGAAAGCAGTGAGCTTGCCTACTATAAGCAAGACTTAGCACACGTAACCTAAACGGTAATTTCTCATAATATAAAAAGAACCACACTACAGCCAGGCATGGCAGTGCACATCTTTTATTCCAGCACTCAGGAGGCAGAGAAAAACTGATCTTTGTGAGTTCGAGGCCAGCCTGGTCTACAGAGTGAGTTCCAGGATAGCTAGGGTTACACAGAGAAACCCTGTCTCAAAAAAAAAAAAAAAAAAAAAAAAAAAAAAACAAAAGAAGGAAGGAAGAAAGGGAGGTAGAGAGGGAGGGAAGAGGGGAGGAGGAAAGGAAATCACACTGAAATTTGGTTCACTTTGCAATTTTTCGGCTATGAGGGCATTTGTTCTGCGGTGCAGAGGCCTCAGGTAAACCTCCAGGAACCCATGAGATCTAAAGCAAAGCACAAACAACAAACCACCCATCATTCTAGGGTAGAGGTGATGGTAGATAAGCAGAGAACTCATTATTGCCTCAAGACACAAGGCAGAAGTAGATTTTTTTTAAATCATACTTGAAAATAAGTTCACCAAATTAATGAAAATATTAGTAAAGGCTTCACAAAACTAAGAGATTTCTACAAATAACTTTCTACTGATTACCGTGTGCCGTAAGGACTGCCTGTTTAAATTCTGCTAATGAGAGCCAAAGTGAAAGAGTGAATCTGCTCCCATCCTGCCCCATGGTCTTCTCAATGGCATGACACTTTCCATTTCTAAGCCTCTCTTTACGATGCCTTTTACATTTGCATATCGATATCATGCAAAATAGTTATTACAACCTATTTTATTTTTAAATGTGTACATTGTGCACAGGTGCCTGCTGTAGACGCCTTGAGTGTGTGGAGTTCTGAGTCAATGTGTGCTGTTGATGAGGCATGGATATGTCAAGGACTCCAAAGACCCTAGGAAAATTCCAGTGCTTTCCTTCAGTTGGGCTCAAAGAAACGGCAAAGCCTTCCTCTGGGGTCTGAGTGCTGGTGTTGACAGTGTGTGTGAAGATGTCCACTTTCTCTTCCTAGATATTTGTAACCTTAAGACGACAGAAACTGCTCCTATTAAGATTAGCTAAAACTATCTCCTTGATCCAGCTTTACACCATAGACACTTCCTTCTTGACGATCTGTATTAGTAACTTTGCCTCCTTGTTCAGCAATAAATAATAACCCCACCTCCTTGTTCAAATATATATAATAAATACACTGAGCTTCCAAGGGCTGAGGCTCTCCATTGGAAAGTCCGGTCCACCATCTCCAGCTAGTTCTTCGTGTCTGTGTCCGTGTCTGTGTCTGTGTGTCTCCTTTCTTCCTCCCTCACTGCTCCAGTTCAGGCCTGCCCCTGGACCCATGCAGGGACCTGGAAGCCTGCAGGGGCTGAAAGAGGGAGTCAGATCCTCTACAGCTGAAGTTACAGGTGGCGATGAGCCACCCGAAGTGAGGACTAGAAACAGAACTCTGGTTGTGCTAGAGTCGTATGTATTCTTCACCTCCGAGCCATCTCTCCAGCCTGTACAACTGTCATCCAAACTTAGTGTTTTCTCTCTTGGTTTACCGAGAAGAAAACCCATGCAAAGAATAGCTAAGCAGTGTCACCAAAGTCCCCAAACTGTAAGAAGCAGGGACCAAGATACAAATTTGGACTTCCTGGGCTTTAAGTCTAAACATTTTGCTTTCTTATAGATCTAATCCCTTGATGTTTTTTCTGCATTTCTACTAAAATATTTGAAGGATATAGCTGAAATTTATGAATTTTTGAAGGTGTTACAATTTTAAGTCAGTTACTAGAATCTGGCTTCTTGCATGATTTAAAACTGGACTCTATTCTGCTCTGTTAACTACTCTATTTTAAAATCATTTAGAAGAGAAGACATTATAGGTAAATACACACAATACAGATGAGTTGGAGAAACCAGTAATGAATCTGTAAAAAGGATCCACGTTCCAACCCTGCTTATCTTCCCAGTAAGTGAAATCTCAAGACAGAGTCAATGGACTGAATGATTAAATTTCTCATGGTCACGAGTCCCTAGCACATCAAATACAACCCTGAGACAAAATTTGCAAATTTTAATATTGCTGCACTTATTTTTATTCAAATAACTCAACCCATTATTGAGAAAGTCAAAATCGCAGTATTTAAGACTAAATACAATTCTCTTTTATCTACCCAGAATCCAAAGGCAACAAAGCCAATACTTATATTTCTTTTGGAATGGACCCCACACTCCTCTTTGTGTTTACAGTGTTTTTTTTCATTTTATACACTTACCTGTTGACCTATTATGTTAAACATTATGCAAGCTTCATATACTACAAGCTCTTTTTGAATCAACAAAGCTTTCCCACTTTGCTTGTCATCCAGCTGAGCACCCACATAATGCTTACTAAATAATCTGTTGTTTAAATTATTCTAGCTATGCAAGCACCGAACACTAGAGAATATGCTATGTGGGAATATGCTATGCATTTCCAAAGTGTTTTGGGTTTTGCTGCAATCTCTACTGGTTGAGTTTTAATAAATCTACCGTAAATAATTCCCATGATTCTAATGGCTCCTTGGTATATTTTTTTCGCATAGCAGAAAGGCAAGAAATGCCATCTGAATTTCTTTGTCCCCTTCCTGAATTCAGTGCCCCGCCTCTTCTCCTACGCTTGTCTGATTCAGAGCTTTGCTGAGCTTCTGCCTCGTCTTCACTATGTGATAATCACAGCCGAGCTCGACGGAGGTCAAATAGCTACATTTTGCAGGTGTTTTGTATAGACTCGGTGATTTTTCTTCCACACACACTTTTTTTTTTTTTTTGTCAGTTTAGTGCCACAGAATGCTCTCGGTTGGAATTGTTGCTCCTGGTTTCTCCACTTCCAAGTAGCTTTGGGGAAGTCCTGAGGTGGTGCTCATGCCAAGCCTGCTTACATATCCTGCCTCAGCTTAACTCAGTTAGCTTCGGCCTTCTCTATTCTCACATTAGTTTCACAATAAAGAGTTTGAGCTGTAGCTGAGTGGCTCATCTTCCATACTGTCATGGCCCTCCACTGGCTTCTCTAGAGATCCATCTCTTTTTATTGCTTGATAATTCCCTCCCATCTACTTACCGTTTTCTATTTTCGGTTCTGTCTGCTCTGTTTCCTCCACTTTATAAACCTTCCATTGTGGTTACCTCTCTACTCTTTAAGCTTCTCTGACCTCTTTTCCCCTTCTGAATCTTTTCTCCTTTGTCTCGTTCTCAGTTCACGGCTGTAATTTTCTTAATCTGGTGACATTAACAACCATTTTCTGATGTTTCCTTCTACCTGTGTGGCCTCTATTCTACTGCCACCAAACTTCTTGTTTCTATTTATTTCCTTGTTTGTGATAGTACAGAATTTCCTCAAACACATGTTTGGCCTTGGCAGTCTTAAGGTTTGAGGGTTTAAAATGGGGTAACTGTACAAGCTAGAGAAGTAGAAAACGATCCCTGGGGAAGGAGGAAAACGAGTGTTCCACTCTCTACAGGGGAACAGTAGAACACGGATGAATGGAGAAAAGGGAAAAACAGAAGGGAGAATTTACTGGGGAGGAGGATGGGATGATAAAATGAGGGTGAGGGAGAAAATGACGCCGAGGATCTTGAAAATTATTTAAAGCACATTTAAATCCAAGTCAATAATAAGTTGGGACAGAAGATCATGAGCAGAGCTGATTCCTGGCTTCACTATAAGATTCTTGGGTCATGCTACTGTATTTGATTTCTGACAGAAGTTAATATCTTAGGATCCCCCGCCATACACACACTTTGGGGTGTTATGTTAGATCTCTAAGGCTACTATACAACAAGCTGGTGACTTTAAACAACAGAAGCTTATTCTGCCATGGTCATGAAAGGTAGAAGTTCGGAACCAAGGTGTCAGCAGGATTCGCTCCCCTGAAGTCTCTGAGGGCGAGCCTGTCCCTACCTCCTCTTGTGTCAGAAAATGCCATGCTTCCCTTTTATGAGAAGTATGGCCGTCTGAATCTCCTTCCTATGGCCTTCTTCCCATGTCCTTCCTCCTTCCTATGGCCTTCTTCCCATGTCCTTCCTCCTTCCTATGACCTTCTTCCCATGTCCTTCCTCCTTCCTATGGCCTTCTTCCTGTGTCCTTCCTCACAACTTTCGAACATTTTCTGTATATGCTTTTTTATAGCTATTTTGTGTTCTTTTTTCTATAGCTACTTCTTTAGGACAAATGACTAAAGGTAAAATGGATTAAAGTTTATTGATAAATTCTGAACAGTTTCAGACTTGCAAAACTGCTGTACTGAATAATTAGACCAATTACAGGCTAAAGTAGATACCATGGTTGTTAATGTTCACTAAATCAATGGGTTAAAATAATAATATTTTGGCTTAATTTTAGGTTTCTTTATTACTAGTAAGGGCAGAGTATTTCCAGATGCAATGACCCAAAAAGCTTTTTCCAGTGAAGGAAACTCAGTATTTTTTTTTCTGTGTCACAAATATTTCCCTACCTTGTGATTCAGTTATGTAGTGCTTGAAATATCAAACCTTAAAATATCTTTACATTAAAATGTTCCTTTGCGGTTTCTGCCTCTTGAGGTAAGTAATATAGATAGGTTGGATTAGATAGATGATAGATAGATAGATAGATAGATAGATAGATAGATAGATAGATAAACAGATGGGTAGATAATAGACAGACATTGTTTCAAGCCCTACCCAAATGTCAATAGCTTCAAGCTAATTTTGAAATTAAAGTAGGTACAGATCTACCAGGGAAGACTTCACATACCACTGGCTTCCATTCCCCCAAACCAGAATATTCACTGGCAGAATTTCAGCATAACCTGAGAAGGGGAAGAAATGCATGCCCATCAGCGAGCGATATGCACTACTGACATTCAAATGGGCTGGAGTGATTCCACCATCCTAGATGAAGTTAGCGTCACTAGATTTATGCATTTTAATTTTAATTCTTCACATTGCTGCACTTCTGAATATCTCAGTCACATTCAAGACCATCCTTAAACTTGACATTGTGAGGTGGGAAGAGTGGGTACCAGTTGCCCTTCGCATGAAAAAGGAGGCAAGGCTGAAAATCAGGAAGAACGGGGATGAGTAGATAAAGCACTACCAGGAGAAAAAGGGAACTAGAGTTGGACAAGCCAAACGACTTAGATTCTTGCAGAAAGCCAACCAAGATGCTTAGGCATCGACTAGAGTCTGGGTGCAGGTAACAGGCTGATGAGTTACAGGGTTGAGCATGGGAATCCTGGCTAAGAAAACAACATGATTTTTTTATAAAAGCGGCTTATTAAAAATAAGGCTGAGAGACAAGGAGGTAGAAGGGAGATGAGAAAGGGGTTGAGGAGAACTTGAAGGAATGGGATAGTTGAGATGGAGGAGGGACAGATATGAGAGCAAGAAAAGAGGTATCTTGATTGAGGGAGCCATTATGGAGTTAGCAAGAAACCTGGCTCTAGAAAAATGCCCAAGAACCCACAGGGATGGCCCCAGCTAAGACCCTAAGCAATAGAGGAGAGGGTGTCTGAACTGGCCCTGTAGTCAGACTGATGATTATCTTAAATATCACCATAGAACCTTTGTCCAACAACAGATGGGAACAGAGGCAATGACCCATATCGGAGCACTGGACTATTTATTTCATATGTTGAGTGTGCTGGCTAATTTTTTGTCAACTTGACACAAGCTAAAGTCATCGGAGATGCGGAAAACTCAACTGAAAAAAAGAAAGCCTGCAAAGATCCAGCTGCAGGCAGGCAAGTCTGTAGGGTATTTATTTATTTATTTATTTTCCTTTGGTTGGTTGGTTGGTTGGTTTGGTTTGGTTTTTTTGAGACAGGGTTTCTCAGTAGCTTTGGAACCTGACCTGAAACTAGCTCTTGTAGAGCAGGCTGGCCTCGAACTCACAGAGACCCACCTGCCTCTGTGGATCTGACACCTCTGACCTCTGTGGTTACAGGTGGTGTGAGAACCGAATGTGGGTGCTGGGAATCAAACTGGGGGCCTCTGGAAAATCAGCCAGTGTTCATAATCACGGACTCGTCTCTCTAGCCCCGCAAAGATACTTTTAAAGGAAGCAATGATTCGGGAAAGCAAGACGACAGCATTATTTTTTAATTCATAATTAGTTTTATAAGCTTAAGAAGGGAAAACCTTAAAAATACGCTACTTTTCTCAGCCACACGAGAACCCTGCCCCAACACGACAAAAACAAAGCATGTTGGTTCACTTCTTGGCATTCTTTAATTTTATCATAGACTCTAAAAGTTATAAAGTATCAAGAAAGAGCTCTTTTATTTTGAGAAATCTAAGGGTACATTTTGCACATTCCCGAAACTTGGCACGATGTCTTAGAAATGGACTTTGAGTTCCCACATGGCAATGAATCAAGCTGAAATGTCACAAGTCTGAGTGTCCGCCTGTGTTTGAGATGTATACATAAAACCCATTTATTTCCCTACTGTACTAAGAAATGGAGTTTAAAGAATTCTAAGACAGCCATATAAAACATTAAACTTGTTGAACATAGATCGGTCTATATTATATTTAAAATGTAATGTTCTTCTTTAAGTAGATTTAGGAATCCTTACCCTAGGCAAGGCCTAATTAACTAACCTTTGCACATGATTAGATGCCAACTTCCTATCTGAACTATTAAGTGTTCACAGTGTGATCTAAGAATTATGTCATAGTTAATAAAACACAACTATACTATGATTAAAGATCAATTTATATTTTACTATTATTAATTTATACTGACATAAATGAATAAAAGCTCAAATTTACAGTGTTACTAATGCCTCACAGTATAAAGAAAATATTACCAGTGAGTTAACTCTCCTTTCTTTGTAGGCAAATACACATATCCATATTCAACACAGACAAAATAAAAAGTCATCTATGAGCCGGGCGATGGTGGCGCACGCCTTTAATCCCAGCACTAGGGAGGCAGAGGCAGGCGGATCTCTGTGAGTTCGAGACCAGCCTGGTCTACAGAGCTAGTTCCAGGACAGGCTCCAAAGCCACAGAGAAACCCTGTCTCGAAAAACCAAAAATATAAAAAAGTCATCTATGCTAGGTTTCAGCTTGTCACTGTCCTTCAAAGCTACTACATAGGTGATTTAAATGACCCATTGGTATGCTCTTGATAGCCTATTTCTCAGTGTTATTCATCAGTGAATCCTGCATGTAGCATATACGTACATCTGCTAATCAGCAGACGCCCACTCTCAAGCACCAGCATGCACACCCCATCCCGCAGCGCCATGGTACCTTTTGCTCCACCTTCAGAAACTGAGCCAGCTCCTCCACTGTCAGGTGCTCCTTTTTGTCGCTGTAGCTCAAGAGCAGCAAATAAAGGTCTCTCCTCAAAGACATCATTTTGTAAAACACGCAGAATTCTTCGAATGTCAGGGTTCCCTGATTCTCATCTGTGTCAGCTTCCTGGACAAGGTATAGAAAGGCGGTAAGAATTGGAAACAGCGAGGAATTCAGAACAAGAAAGGAACATTTACCATTAAAGGGCCAACACATAAATCACGAAAATACATTTTTAAGCACACGGAATATTATACAAAACAATATTAGGCAATCAAGAAAGCATCAACAAATTGTAATCAACATTACATAAACCAATTTCTTTGACCATAGTATGTCTATAAATTAACAGAAAAATCTTAAAGCAGAACAGTAAAATAATGCTTCTAAATAGAAAAGTAAACACTTAAAGGGAACAACTCTAATTCAAATCTATATGACACTGAGGCTGGAGAGATGACTCAGGGGTTATGAGCACAGCACTGGCTGGTTCAGTTCTAAGCACCTACATGGCAGAATACAACTATTTGTAACTCCAATTTCAGGAGATGCAGTGCCCTCTTCTGGCTTCCTTCGGTACTGCACAAACAAGGTACCATCCATGCACACAGGCAAAGCACAATTTTTTTAATTAAGCTCAATTTTTTTTATGACAGACACGCATCAAATCTCAGCATCAGAAATATAAATTACAAGCAAACAAGCAAACAGTAAAATGTTGATGATACAGTTAAACCTTTAAAGCAAAGCTTGAAGCTCAATTTGTTAGAATGCGTTATTTGGAAACAAAACCTGAACTGCCTGTAATTTCTACCTCCCGGAGGATAAAGCAGATGGATGGTTAGTTGGAGGCCTGCGTGGACTGCATAAAGAGACCTTATCTCAAAGACAAGATAAAACAAAAAAGCTAGTTATTCAACTAAAGATCTAAAAAGAATGAAGCCAAGGAAAACTATAAGCAAAACCAAAGGGCAATGATAGTTTTTTTTAAAATGCCTATCTTTAAAAATAAGCAAGGAAGCCAACAGCTGATCTTTGAAGACACCAATCAAAAAGGTACCTTGAGCACAACAGATGAAGGACAAGAGAGAGGCGGAGCTTCGAAGCACAGCATAGACACTCGACTCTCGCTTGCTACAGAACTGTACTGTAATTCCTCCCCTAAGACAATCTTTCCCATGACCCATGACAGCTCTGGGCTCTTGCAGCCACCAGAGCCACGCTACTATCCCACTTTTTCTTCCAAGGAAAAGTCGGAACAGCTCACGCAGGTAGATGTCTGCTTTATTTGTTCCCAATGATGATTGCACAAGAACTGTTCGCCGCGGATCCTGAGCTGGGCTGAGCGGGTCATCAAACTGCCAGGGTAGCAAACTGAGCCACCAAACCGTTTCCAGGATGGCGCCCATTCACGGTGAACACAATCGTGAGGAAACTGAAGCTGTGAGGAAGTGAGTGGCGCTCTACAGCCTTGGGTTTGGGGAAGAACAACTCAGCGGTGAAAGAGACTTAAATACGGCCTTGAAAGGCGAAAACACTCATGGAAATTTTGCTGATGTGCTCATGCTCGCTTCAGGGGCACGTGTGCTAAAAATGGAACCGTGCAGAAGATTAGCGCGGCCTCTGAGCCACGACAACATGCAGATTAGCATAAACCATTCCAAATTTTTAAGAAAACTTTTGCTTAATGCTAACTTTTTAGGTTAATTAAGTGCGCACAAAAATAGTTAAGCCTTGCTCGGCCTCTCTGTGGAGCTGATAACTCCTATCTTGTCATTTTAAATGTGCATGTAGATTGTTGATAAACGGTTTTAATATATGGGGCCTAATGAAGAGTCCTTGCATCTAAGAGATTGAGTATAGCGTTCACTTTTCTGTTATAGTTTTAAATCCTGCCAGGCATGAGCATGCACACCTTAATCCCAGCATTCAGGAGGCAGAGGCGGGCAACTCTATGTGAGTTCTGGGCCAGTCTGATCTACATGGTGAGTTCCAGGTCAGCCAGAACTGCCTAGTGAGACCCTGTTCCTTAAGTGTGTGTTTGTGTTTAATCCTATTTAGCAGATATATTTAAGATTTCGGCTTATAGATACTAAAATATTCCAAAATCCAAAAAATAAAACCTTAAATCCAAAATACTTTTGGACTCAAGAATTTCACATGAGGGTACTTAATCTATTTGGAAACTTCTGAATCTTGCATTCCCAACATAAGCCTTTCTTTGCAGACTCCTGATAGACTCAGGACCCAGGTGGGCATATTTCACCTATAGCAGGCATATGTATCTGGTCATTTTCTGTCTTAACACATTTTCAAATCTAAGAGCCTAAAAAGAGACTCTGAATTCTCTTTTAAACCTGTCTCACCACATATCCAGTGGCTTACTATCCCAAAATAAGGGGCTGAGGCAGACGAAGCTCTAAATTCTGACCCAGCCTGGCCACATAGTATGACCCCGTCTCAGGGTTTACAAAATCATAAGGACATAGAAAAGAAACTACTTGGGGCCACAAGGGTACAAGTCTGTGATGGGGGCAGAGAGGGGAGAGGATCAACCAAAGTATGCATGAAAATGCCATAGTGCAACCTGCCATATCTGCCCATTTAAAAAGGTAACCATTTAATAAATAATAAACTTGTCTGATGAATTTACATTTTCTAGTTTTCCTGTGTTTCACTCCTTCCTCTTTTCCTTTTAAGCTCATGTTGTCCTCCTGTGCAGTGGAACCAAACACCTCCAGTCCAAACCATCCCTAAACAGGAGAACAGGAGTGTCTCCTAAGCAGGCCCACCTGAGGGGATCAGAGAAGGGAGCCAGCATCTGGCTTCCATTTGCTGTTGGAACGCATGGCCCTGCTAGGCGCAGCGAGTGGTCAAAGAGCAAAAGCTCCAAACACAGAACATTTTACCTTTCTATGTTTATTATATATCTAAGATATAGACTTAATCACACAGAACTAAAAGTCTTTATAAAACATGGATTCTGCATATGATTTACCTACAAATCAGTACCGTTTTGTAATTTAACTTCTGATCATTACTAACAGTGCAGTCTGGTCTCTGCCCAACACTGCTCATTCCCAAGCACAGCCCAGCTGGATGCTGCAGAATAAATTCCAGCCCGGGATCTCCCCTCAAGGATTGAGAGGAAAATGCATCTTGTCTCACATACCAAGAGAGGTTTGAACTCTAACGCCTTAGCGCTTCTAAGCCTCATGGGTTTTCAACCTTAAGCTCTTCCGAAACAAGAGACAACTCTTGGGGCTCCTGACAGCCCTGTTCTTCTCCTGCCACTTGGTCTTTACTGTAACCCTCACAACAGCCCCCCAGCCCTGCGGCAGGCAGATGAAGCACTCTCATCCCTTCAGAAGCACTTGACCAAGTTCACGCCACAGCTCAAGTACCAGGGAAAGTGTTTAAAATAATAGCTCTCTGGAAACAGCAACAGCAAAGAAGTATTCCAGGGGGATGAAACCCAATGCTTCTTAAGTTTGAGAAGAATTTTTTCCTTTGATGAGACATCTCATTTTTCCTTTGATGAGACGTCTCTTTATCGAAGAAAAACGAAAACAGCGTGGAGCAAGTTAAGACCAGCTTCTCAGGAAATAAAAGATTTTAATGTGCTAATTGTGGCAGCCATTGCTGTGTTTTACCAAAGGTGACCACATACCTGAAACATCTGTCTGACTTTTCTCCGGGGCAGATTGACGTTTAGTTTATGCATCAGCTGGTGAATCTCTTCGATGTTCAATAAGCCGTCGCCATTCTTATCAGCCTCCTCAAAGGTCTGCTTCACCCACGTGCAGAAAGGTCAAAGAAAAGTTTTCATCGAAATCAGAACTGCTCTCCCGCTGAACGTCGCGGGGACACGATCGGCAACTCGGAATCAGGAGAAACGCTTTGGAGGAGACCCTGTGATGCACAGGCTCTGCTGAGCTCTTGATAAACAGCAATAACAGAAGAGAAGGGGGGTGTGCACATTGGGGGCACCCTCCCCTGAAAAACCGGAGGCATGCCAGACTGCGGAAAGGTGTAATGCAAACAGTCTTGCTAATCGAAATTAAAAGTCAAGCTTTTTGTTAAAAAGCACAGTATTCCAGCAGCCGTAATTACTGGGTCCACTTTCCTTAGCCTCCATAGACAACACTAAAACACGAGTATATGAATTCACATATTATCCTTTTTCTCGTGTCCTGACTTGCTGTGGGGGCACATTTTGCTCCTTCAGCCTTTAATATACCAGCCTACTTGGGTGTGGTCTCTTTTGCTTTAAAAAGCAGTGGTGTGCTCTCTTGCTTCCGGCTCCCACTTCTGGCTGCTAGACTCTATTCCTGTTCCCTCAGAGGGCTGTTGTCTATAAGTTTTTCCCCTTAAATAAATAAACCTTTTATTTATCATAATTACAAACTGGTATGGAATTGTTTTGTGACTTACACCTTCACTGACTTCATCTTCTCAATAATTTTGCTCAAGCATAAAGGGTTAGAGGTCCTCATTTGTGAGACACAGAGACAGCACACAGCAGGAATAGCCTGGTGTTAATCGTCTAGCTCTCTGTCCAAAGATCTCATTAGGATGAAATTTCAAATATAAGCAATCTGGCTTTTATCTTCTCCTGTGCCCTCTCACTTAGTATGCTTTTTTGTTTTTATCATTCTTCCAGTCAAGAGCTCCACTCTCTTTTCTGTCTCTTACTCTTCTATTTTAAAGATGAGGCCATCTGGCTGACCCTCAGCATTGCCACGAAATAGAGAGTCTTTGGTGAGAACAGGAAGGAGACTGTAGTCTCATCCTAATCCCATGACTCTTACAATCTGACCTGGCATCCATGTTCTGTGCACATAAGGCTGTTTCTAGCCCACACTCCGCCTTTATCATTAGTATGATAGTGGTCTCCTACCAACTGCAAACTTCTAATCGTAGTAAGCTCAGGTGTGAGACTCGGTGATGAGACTATGAAGCCGAGTTTCAATATAAAGGATTCACATCATGTGTATTGAGACTTACAGGATCCTCAAATAAGTGAGCAGATTTAAAACATGCATGAAAAATTCCCAATTAATGCACAACATTTTAATATAACATATTTTAAGGATGGTATGCATGCATAGAATATTAAATTGAGCTTCAAAGGTTAAAGGAAATTGGAGAGGAACAGAATGAAAGCAATTAAAAAAAAAAAGAATGAATCCAGAGATTCAAACTCAGAGAAAGGAATAAGTTTAAAAACCAAGAAATGACTGGGCTAGAGAGAAGGCTCAGCAATTAAAAGTACTAGTTGCCCTCCTAAACAACCCAGGTTCAAATCCCAACACCCACAAGGAGGCTCACGACCACCATAACTCTAGCTCCAGGGGATGCCCTCTTCTAGCCTCTATAGGCAACTGGTTTACATGCAGAAAAAAAAAACACCATACACATAAAATAAATATAAATTAAAAGAAAAGAAAACCAAACAAGAAGTGGGAGAACAGAATTGAAACAGCCGAGGGCCAGTGGATAATATCACCTTACCAAGCAGGTTGCAAGACGAAAATGTTTTCCCCTGCCTCAAAATATCAACCAACCGCCCAGTGGCAGCAAAACACACTTAGATTTCCTCCATGAGTCAAATTACAACTGTGAAATATTACTGCCTTAGAGAGTAAAAGGCATGTGTGTGAATGAATGAATGAATGAATGAATGATGAACACAAGAGACCCCATTAACTTACACAATTTACAGGTGCTAAGTACCAGAAACTTAAAAAAACCAAATTAACAACAACCAGAGGGTAAAATCTGCTTTCCTTCCAGACTTATTTCACAACAGAAGCAACACAAAAACCCATCTCTTTCCACTTTTTCTTGCAAAGCTCAGTAAGGAGCTCACTGTATATTTTGCCTAAAGGTTAGAAGAGATCAGACTTAGAAGAACAATAAGCAAAGAATTAGAAGGATGATGAGGTATTAGTACATTTTTTTTTGTTTCCTGTCCACACAGAACCCCTCCCTGTGGAGCTCTCCATCCTTTTTGATTGAACAATCCTCTGTATCCACAACATACTCAGCCAAAGTACAGAGAGGTGAGAAATGGATCCATTGACAGCAGTACTTCCATATTTCTGCCCTACAGCTATCCATCAGACCCTCTAAATGACCTGGGAAGAGACAAGGGACAGCACACCTTCAGCATGAGCACAACCTGCAGATACAACCTCACTGGGCTGGGTCTACAAGGCTTCGTGCATGAGCTGGCCTTGGCGCCTGCTTTAGGGGACAAGGGACTATGAAGCGCACACAGAATGGAGTCAGAACAAGAAAGAAACACTGGCCCTGATTCTGCGGATGGCACAGCCCTGTTACCACAGCTCACTCACGTCACCTCTTGGTGACTGCTTCTTCCTCTCTGGCTTCAGGAAATCCAACAAGATAACCCTGAGCTCACGTGCAATTTCCACATTCTGTGAAAGGAAAACCTATTGTTTCCAGGAACGGTATGCATAGAAAAGCAGGGGAAAGGTTCCTGTTATCTTCAAATTGTGTTCTATAACCAAGATGTGAGTATCCGGACAACCCCTGACCTGATGACTCATTACCACACACAACAACAACATCAAGAAGAGCAAGTCATTCTACAGAGGAAAAGTCAGAGGAAAAGGGAAATAAATATTATTATTATGCTTTGTGTTTCTATGACAAAACCATAGCAGGATGAAAAAAATGTGGTATGATTTCACATGGGGGTGAGAACGGGCAAAGCATCTGTGAAGTGGCTGACAATCAACCCTTGGTAGATGACTCATCTCAGTTATGACCTCTCCAGGCACGGGACAGCAGCCTGATGGGAGGCAGCAGGAGTGTGCACAGCTGTGTTGCCAGTAAGACTTTGCTTGTGCACAATGAAGTTCAAATTCTAACTTAATTAAATATTTTATCATTAGATATTTATTCCAAATAAATATCTAATGATAAAAACGTTATCACTCTTCTGACTTTTCTTCAACCATTTAAATTGAAGCTCATTCTTAGCTCATAAATCCTAGCTAAACCCAGGCAACGAGCTGCATCTCCCCCAAAGCCTGAAAGATCAAAGTTCTCATTTCCAGCACACGTAACGGGGTGTCTGCAAGTAACAACTTCCTTCAGAGTGTCAGGACGGGGTGAGTGGAGAAAGCAGAGAACAGACTGGTAGAATTGACGCTAAGGCTATACACCACCACCATCATTTTTGCATGAGGTGGGGGCACTGAGATTTCAGAGTTCATTCCGAAGGAAGAAGGAAGAGACTTGCCAGCTTCACCACTGCAGCGGCAAGCAGCCTGTTAACAAAGTGCTTACCCAGTGGTGGGCAGTGCCTACATCAATTCCTTTGCCCCGCTACACCCTCCCTGAGCAGGCGCCAGTATTATCGGCACTGACATCCTACAGACATAGACCATGAGACAAAAGGGTAGAATCTACCCAAACCGCAATGCCAAACTAAATAATTCATGCCCTAGGTGGATGGATTTTCTCTTTCGGCCACCTGAGATTCACTGTATTTATTATTTATTCAAGAAAGTTTAAGGTCTAAGTGAAGTCTAATCGTGAGCGTCCTGTATCATTTCTCCCTGATTAAACATACGTCCAATCGAGAAAGTCAGTCTGCGGCAGGAGAGATGATTCAGTGGGTGAAGGGCCTTGTTGTCAACCTTGGATGACCTCAGTTCAATCCCTGCATCCTACAGAGTAGGAGAGAACTAACTCCCTAACTCCGGCAGGTTTTCCTCTGACCTCCACAGTGTCACCTTAGTAGGAACACAAACAGTCATGTGTTCCTACTCATACACACAATGGAATAAATATAGGAAAGAATTAATGCCAGCATAGCATGTAAGACCTTGTCAATTCTGAAGAACAGTACCCCCTGCCTCACTCTGCTTTTCACTGTTTTTCTTACTATTAATTTCTTCTTCCCTTTTCCTTCCCTTTCTGGCACAAACATCAGCTCTCTCTAAGTGTCTTACAGGATGGCTTCCCTATGCAGTTCTCAGGTGCGCTTCCTTCCCAGGTCACCTGTGTCCAGAATATGAAATGTCTTAGCCACCACGCTGACTAATTCGATGACAAACACTTTCAAGTGACAGTAAAAGTAAATGCATTAAGTTGAAAGAAAACGGAAAACCCCACCGTCCAATAAAGCAAGCAGAGGACCCCGCTGTCCCTGCCCGCCTCTTACCAGTGTGTCAAGGGTCATGACCCTGACCTATGGGCTAATGGCTCAGGGATGTTCAAGTGGATCTTTGTTAACCGGGTGCAGACCACAGCTTCCAGAACTGATCGCTTCCTCTGTGACCATTGCTTTCCCTTGTTTCCTACAGAACCTCAGCTATACAAATGTATCCAAGGGTCACGTGCTCTAATTGTGGTCAAGCACTGACGAAAAAGAGGTGAATCTTGGACCTCATCTAGCCATCCTCAGAGTGCCTGCCTGAGTGTCTCTGATGACATAGTCTCCAAATTTCATAACCTCTCTGTGTGCGGCTGGATTTTCTTTCATGTACTTTAAGCCAACATATCACTACAGGCTAAGCACAAAGTAAACGTGGAAACCCATGTGCTCTTTTCCGCCCAACATCGCAGAACATGTAAGGTGATGAAGCAACAGATCCTTCACGTCTGTTTGCTTTGGAAAAATACAGTCATTCTATAGTATATTAAATGTAGTAAAAATTACTATGATTTTTACATAAATTGACTATTTTCAGTGCTCAGACTTAGCTTCTAATAAGGCGAATATCACTATATACTTCATGTTAGCAAAGCATCATGGCCGGCTTCAAGCAGTAATGGCCCTGCAATAGGAATTCTCATCAATGACAAGAAGTTATCTCTGGAGAGACTTCTAGAAAGGCCTTCTGTTTTTCTCCTCTGTCTCATTTGCAACATGAAACTCTGTCCCCCTGGGCAGGACTGTGTTTGACACTGCCCCCTGCCCCCTGCAGATACTGTGTCCTTTGACCAAGAGGTGGCCAGCCAGCTGAGGGACCACACCCACATGTTAGGGAAGCAGATATGGGTCTCTGATGATATCCTAGCCACTGAATTAACCGCACCCTGGAAATGCCCATCTTCGAGCCCTCATTTGTGAGAAAGCACGTCTTTATCAAAAGCACATCAGCGTGGCTGTTGATGCTTGGACCACAATGGTGTTGCCACTGTTCAATATTGTTGCTCGCTTGGGTTTTTCTTATTGCCTCTGTTTCACCAAATGTCAAACCAACAGACCGAGGCAGAAATAGTTAGCCATGTGTTTAAACTCATTCAGGAATCCCACCTGCACTCATCTGCTTGCTGTGAATAGAGAGGAAAACCTTGTGGCTCACCAGCTCAGCTTCACACTGTTGAGCTCGCTTCCTGGGCTAACTGGTCCCATCCACTTCAACCGTCTCCTATGTGTGGATCTATACAGCTACTGAGTTTTAAGTTTCTCCACACTCCTGCATATAGTGCTGACGGTGGTGGTGACAATGGTGGCAGTGGCAAAGAAAATGACAGCAGGGATGTAACGTTCCCCCTCACAGAAACATGGGCACATATATTTTTAAGACCACCGAAGGCATGAATCAGGGAACCACCAACCTGGACTAGCTAGATACTCTCACTGTACAGGCAGAGGAACTGAGGTCAGAAAGACCACAGGACACAATCAACTCTACCCTAGCAGAAAGGTGTCTTTGGAAGAAGTGCATTCATTGTGTGTCTCATCAGCAGGGCAGGACCACAGGAAGGGTTTTCACCAAGAATCAGAAGGGTGGCAAGATACATTCATTGAGGCTATGATGACATGACTGTTTTGTAGACGCCATAATGGCACGAATGTTTGGAGAATAACCAACTGTTTCTGATGGGACTGAATGTCCATTCTACAAGACAAAACTCATGCTTGGTACTGTTAAATGGACCAAGAACCAGTGACTTCCCTAGGGAAGAACCAAGTACTACTATTCTGCTAAGTTGACATGGTATTGAACTTTCTTCTACATGTCTTTATAGATGAGTGCATTTCTCATCCCCATCAGAAGATTCTTTTTGCACTAGGCGGCTATAAATTCAGAGTCCAGTTACTGATCAAAATATGGAGAATGTGGAGCACTCAGTTTTAAATGGGACTCCTATGGCACATCCTCTTCCCCGGAGCCTCTGCTCCCGTTTCAGAAAAGGGAGCGGGAAGATTTTAAGAGCTAGCAAATGGCTTGTGAAACAGTGTTTTCCAGGTGTGGCAGGGCCATTGCACACATGCATTCACAATGGCGAGGGCTGAATCACGAGTCCCGTGCAAGACCAAGCCAGCAGAAATGCAAGCACAAATGACGTCCCTATCCACACTGAAGAGCCACTGGTGACTGATGGCTGTGGGAGGGGAGAGAGTGAGATTTCTTCAGATGTGGCCCAAGAAGCTGCCCATGTACCAGTGGATAACCCTGCATGCGAGTCCTCAGTAGCATCACCCAAGGGGCTCAGTGAATTTTAAAAAGGAGTGCATGAAGTTTGGGAAGGGAGTAAGGGGGTATGGAAAGAATGAACAAGTTCATCAACACACATATTCATGTATGAAATTTTCAAAAAGTAAATGTATAAAATGTAATTCCTAAATTAAAAAAAGGAACAGATGGGGACTCTCATTTCTCAAGCACTTTCGAGAGGGTGAGTGGGGTAAAAAGAAATCCCTTCCTCTCTCTACAGTGCTAACTGCTCAGGGCCCATGCTGTGAGTTCAAAGGGAGAAAACAGCTGAGAGGCAATTGGTATGAATGACATGATTAGAACACCAAAAACTATTTGCGAAATTCAACTGAAATTATGACAAGCCAGGATTTTCTTATAATACAAATTAGTACTCCCCCAATTACAGCTCATGAACATCTCACTAAAAAAAAAATGCAATCATCTCTAATAGGGGCCCTCTCTGATTGTGAAGCTACATTCAATTTTCAGAATTCTGTTTCTGAGCTCTTTGGTTTTACTTATTCATGCCCTGGGAATGAGCACACAAGGGACAGAGGATAGTTCAAGAGACAGAAAAACAGACAGCAAAGAGAGATGCTTCAGACCTCACAAATATGGAAAAAAACAAAGTTCACTTTAATTCTCACTTTGTGTACATATACCACACACACACACACACACACACACACACACACACACACACAGGGGCACACACAAGCATACAAAGCAAACACGGCATTCTAAGAAAGGATATTGGTCGTGGGTCCTCTGCCTCTTGGCAAGGGAGTCCTCATCACTGATGCCAGCCATCAGATACTTAAGGCCTGTGATCCAGGTGCGTGCCTCCTCTGGGTTGGAGGTAATGAGGTCCAGGGACTCCATGTGGTTGCCATGGTAGATGGTGAAGCAGCAGCTGGGATCGAAGTTCCCCTCGGCCTGTCTGTGGAAGATTTCAGACTGCCTGCCCTCCGTGACTTTGTAGATGGAATCAATCAGTACTGTAAGAGAAGTAAGACACACCGTTAAATGGCAGGTGAAGACATTTAGCTGTAGTGACTAGGAAACAAGACATGTATAATTATTGGAAGCATTCTAAAGAATAAAAAAAAATTGCCAATAAGTAGTGCTTTTTAAGACAAAATATGCAAAACTGGCCTCAAAGAATTTACCTTTTGGGGGCATTCTTGACAATGTCATCCCAAGGCAATCACTCACAGTGTGTTGAGACTTACAGGAAAGAAACAGAGATGCCTATTAAGGCAAGAAGACTAGTAAAAAAGGTGGCTAATAAATAGTTCAGATGTAGTTTACATATTTATGTAGGGAAATATGCTCAAACGGAATTGAAAGTTGTATTTAAGATTACCATACAAAGGAAGTAGTAGAATTTGATGTGACTCACGGGGGAAATATAGGGACAGTGTGGCTTGGAAAAGTGGGAAGGAGGAAGGGAAAGGCAGGCAGAAACCACAGCCCATTGCAAGAATGCTGGCCTGAAATGCTCAGAGATAGAATAGAGGGAGATGAAGCTGGAGAGGTAGACAAAGGCTAGATCTTAAGGATCAACAGGTAGAGAATCACATAATTCAGGAAGGTTAACAGACAGACACTTAAGGATTGCACCAGAGAAGAACTATTACGTACTATACATGCTGCGTGTATATTTTAAGGGAATGATGAGAAATGTTCCATGTCCTACTAACTGCCGTTTACTGTACCCCTCATTCTGCCTCATGGGCTGGGTTCTGGTTGTACTTCGGTATCAACTCATTCCCTGCATGACACACAGAGAAATCATCTGATGTCCAAAGGAAAAATCCTGACAGAGCTAAGCCACTAAGAGAAGGTGGAAGAAGAGAGAGAGGGAGTCCCTATCTATTTTTAATTAAATTAATTTTTAAATAATTAATTTTTTTGTGTGGTACAGAGTAGTTGAAGTCATGTTACTAATGCTTTGATTGCAACATCAGCACCAGGGATAGCAGTGACCAGTCCAGGAAACAGAATAAGAAGCGAAACAGCCCACACTTGCTAAGGGCAAAGAGATTTTTGACCAAAGGCATTAACATTCGATGAGAGCGACTGCATGGAGATCCAACACGAACTTGGTGCTAAATCCAGAAGGTATTATAACAATTAGTGCCAACACACTCGATAAAGAGATGCCCAGATACCAAGGACAGCATCATTGCTGGGCATGTCTAGGGGAGTTAGTGTGAAAGAAATTGGTATTTGAATAAATGGCCTGAATAAGAAAGTCATGTTCACCCAACAGGAGTGGGCTGCATCCAATCAGCAAAGAGCCCAGATAGAAGAAAAGGGAGAAGATAAAAGTGAATTTTCTCCCTCCTGGAATTGAGACATTCATCTCCTGATATGAAAATTTCATGGATTCGGGCCCTTGGACTATGGGACTTGAATCTACAGTACCTAGGGAGCTCAGGCCTTCACCCTAGAACTGAGACTCACACCATCCCTTCCCCTGGTTGCAGGTCTGGAGCCTTGGGCTGAGCCGTATTGCTGATTTCTGTGGTTGTCCAGCAGGCAGTGGGCACATACATTACGTCGCTGTTTAACCTCCAGAAACACAGTCATTTCCTTTTATTAATCTCATCTGCCTATGTTTACCGAAGTAGCTATCTGTCTACTAGTCTGTGTCTCTAGAGTAATACTGGTACTATAGAGAGCACAGATAGGAGAAATAAACTGTAACCATTTAAACACTATGGCTAAGTCATGGATTAGTTGATTGTCTGGAGGAGTATACAACAGACTCTGAAGTCCACTGGATTGATAATATTCCTTACCTTTCACAGGAAAAAATCTCAAGCCATGACACTTGATATCCCAATTAAAATAAAACATGGCAAATCTCCAACATAGGAGAAATATTAGCATTTACAACATTTATCGACAAGAAAGCCTTCATGGTTTTCCAATCCCCAAAGATCATTGTCACTTCTTGTTTTATGATCAGCTGACCCCAACCTTCATATCCACAGATACGAAGCCTCCACAGAGCCTACTCAGCACCTCCCATTATCTGCACTATTATGCATTACCCATGTGCCAATCAAAGCAATGAAATCGAAGGTTGGTTTTACTTTTTGCCTTCTCACTCTTCCGAGAGGGGCGCCATCGGAGGCGGGTCCGGTGCTCATCCAGGTAGAAGAGGCGAACGAGGCCCTTGGAGCCACGCTTCAGCTTGATCATCTGTGTCCCAGACTGCATTACACTCATGCATCTTTCAACTGCAAGAGATGAGAGCACATTCAGCTTCACACAATGCAAAGGCATACCTGCATGCAACACTTACGGTCAAAAGAACTTGATTCATTCCAAGACCCCAAGGATCAGACGACATGTTTGGCAGAGGTTACCTGAAAACAGACTTGTTAAGGAACCTATTCCTCAAGCTTACACCAGTAAACGAGTCTTATGACAAAAGCAAAAAAAATTTTTTGTTTTTTTTTGGGGGGGGGGGATAGGAGTCACACACTGTAGGCTAGGTTGTCCTGGTATTCCCCATGTAGCTTCACGGTGGCCTTAAATTCACAGCGACCATCTTACCTCAGTCTCCTGAGCACTGGGATTACACATATGAGCCATCACATTGGACTTGGATAAGAATTATGGTTGCTGTTGCCATTTTCTGTGCATCTTAAATGAACACTCTAGCCTGGCTCTTTAAAAATAATCAATTCTATTTCCAGATAAATAATGTATTGTTGTTGCACGTAGCTATCTTTTGTTGTCTGTGTAAGACAGATGATGGACTGACACCTGAATTTATATTTCTAAGGCAAGCTTTCACACAGGAAATCACGTGAGTTTTTATACAACCAGCTGTATAAAACACCTGTAAAAGTGCTCTAAAATGTGACCACAGACACAGGATTGACCCAAAGCCAGTTGGGAGGGTTGGATGATGATTCCATGTGTATTCCTGTCAGATTTCTATGTGTTTGAAAAGTCAAATACACGTCTTATGTAATCAAGAAACAAATTTTCACAACTGTTGATGCATTTGGGCTGCTCAGATTTTTCCATCTAGAGCAATAACTCAGTACTTTGATTTAGGCAATATTCAAACTACTTACAGGGTACCCTCAAGTTCTTATTTACACCTAGTGTGTCTTGAGATCAATTTCCCTGTAAGTAGACATCTGCTCTGTCCTCCTTTTTCTTTAGAGACACTCCTCACAAACTTTGTGTATCTTTGGTGGCCTGTCAATCATCTCGCCAAGGAACAGGCAGCTGACTTAAGTTTAGAGCAAATGGACTTTTTCAGAAGAACCTCAAATCTCGAGTGGATCATTGACTAAAATGGGTTTGGTCATTTCAACAACTGAGCTCTGCAGGATGCCCTGATTGGTCTTCCCACGCTGCTACAGATGTCACGTTTCCTGCTCTAAGAATGACAAGAAACTACATCATGCCCTGACTTCTACAAGTTTCCCAATATTCTTCCAAATACTCCTTTTCTTTATATCAGTCAGAAACAGAGTACTTGACATAGCTAGCTGAATTCCTGCCCTATCAAACAGACACGGTTAGTAGCAGATTTTTTAAATGATGAAAACAAACCTCAGCAATGTCAGATCTGAGCTCTTGGAGGTAGGGAGCAGAGAGTCTTTACTAGAAAAAAAATGATGCGATTCAACAGCTTTAGGTTGCATGCCAAGATATCCATGAAAGATATCTTCAACACATCCACTTTACCCCAATGCAACCAAGAAAGTATCACACAAAACTATAGTTTGGGGGGAATATGATGGTGGGAGGAGATGAAGTAATAGGAATATTGTTTAGGAAAGCTGGCATGGAGATATAGTAACAGAATATTTGCCTACAACACTTAGATAGACAGGGCGCTGAATTAGATCCCCCAAGAGAGGATGGGATAAAGGGAAGAGGAAAAAAGATAAAAAGAAAAGGAAAACCAACACAGAAACGTAAACTGCACACCATAAGGCAAAACACCAAATGTGAGGTTTGGGTCCACAGAAGTCACTAAGCCTACCTGCCATCAAAAGCCATCGTGTATGCCAAAGGAGGCTAATGAGCTGACCTTTTTGTTTTTCCTCACCAAGACAACTTCTATTTCAAGTATTTGAGTATTGCACACATTGCACGACCTGGGTTTAGACTTAAGCTCTCAAGCAGAATTATATTCTTAGTAAGAAGCCCGTTCCATCCAGGATCCACTATGGGCACACACCTAAATTACAACATTTATATCACCACCTGGCATCTGAAGAAAAGATATGCATATATCTAAAAATTCAGATTTTATAGAAATATTAAAAATTCAAGTAGCACAAAAATCAAAAACTATTCAAAGTTTTCATAGCATTCCTGTACCCACCTATGTTAGAATTAGGAAATGCAATGAAATCTGCACTGACAAAATACATTCCTTTATTGGACACGTTACCTGGTTATAGTAATCTGGCAGCCCCCAAATCAAATGTTCTTCTATGATAGGGTACTTAATTTGTAAGGAAACCAAAAGCCAATTCTGCTACCTTAGAGATGGGACCTTTGAGAGACCCCTGAGCAGATGAAGTCTTGAGAGTAAGGAAATTGGTGTTCTTAAAAGAAGAGGGCTTCCCCTTCCCTCATTCCATTCCTCCTCACCATCCCTTCCCTTTGCCTTATAAAAGAGACAATGATAAGACAAGAGCTAGGAAGACAGTGGTGGTGGTGCACACCTTTAGTCCCGGCACGCGGGAGGTAGAGGCTGGTGGATATCTGTGAGTTCGAGGCCAGCCTGGTCTACAAGAGCTAGTTCCAGGACAGGCTCCAAAGCTACAGAGAAACCCTATCTTGAAAAAAACAAAACAAACAAACAAAAAAAGAGCCAGGAAAAGAATGATGCGGTGTAGCTTATTTATTCCCTGTGGGGAAGCATGTCTTTGCTAGAGGGAGGCTTGCAGGTTAAGGTAACTTAGTAGACCCACAAGGCTTTCCCCACAAGAGAATAGGTGCAGAAAATGATCAAGCAGAAGAGAAGAGGACTCAGTGAAGCAGTCTGCATGTGGTTGTGGGAGACCCAGCAATAACTGCTCCTGTGAGCCTCACTCCCGCTGGGCGGCCGGTTCAGTGAGTGAGTCAGCCTCCTTTGATCACTGATGCTTCTGAAAGTAACCCTCATAAATGCACCAGTTCACTGAGCAAGATCTGGCTGAAACCGTTCCTTTTTTTCTGCTCTCAGTGCCCTACGTGGGATGGATGGATGGATAGCTCTTCACATCTCCCAAGGGAAAGTCATACAAAATCTCCCCAAGAACTTGTCAGTTCATCTTGGATTTTGCAGCCCCTGCACTGTAAAAGCTAAGTATCTGTGGTTTAAGCCACTTTACGCGATCATACTGTGCTACGGCATCTGAGCTAAGGCATGATCAACTGTCTTTAAACTCTTTAAACACAAAGGTCAAGTCAGAACTAAAAGAGCAACTCTGTGCAAGCCAGAAAAAAAGCAGAGTAGGCTGAGCTGGGGAGAAGTGAAATCAGTGGAGAAAGGGGGGAAGGAAAGTTTGCTCAAAGTTACTCAACCTTTGGGAGAGTAACTAAGAAGACAATTGGTAAGTAAGGCCCTCCACCTGCTTGTAAGGTGAGGCTGCAGGGATCTGGGGAGGTGGTGGAAGATTTTGATTCACCGGCAACATTCATCGGCTATTTCTGTACAAAGAATTAGCAAAGAATTAAGAAATCTGTTTCTCTGGGGATAGAAATCTGTTTATACCAGAGTGAAGATTTGAATTATTGTACCATCCACACTTCTGTGCATCTGACTCAAAGTCCACTATTGTCTATATACCATTTACTTGTTATTGTTTAGATTAAGTTTTACACACACACACACACACACACACACACACACACACGCACACCGGGGTGAGGTGGAAGATTCATGTTTTAAAGTCTTGGTTGCTAGCATCTAGCAACTATTGGGGGACTGGTGGGACCTATGATATGTAGGGCCTAGCAGGTCATTGAGGACACACCCTGACTAGGTCCATAGGTCCCCATCTTTTTCTCTGCACTCCATGGCTTGTGATGTGCACAGGCCTTGCTCTCCTATACATGCCTGCCATGATGTGCTGTCTTGCCAGGGGCCAAAACACAGGCCAACCAATCATAGACTGATACCACCAGACCTGCTAGCTAAGTTAACCCCACCTTCTTTTGAGACTATTTGACTCCAGCAAAATAAAACCTACACACTGCCCTTTCTTTCCTTCTCCTTTTCTGTCCTCAGCACATTGCCAGGAAAATCTTGTCAATTCGAGAGCAGATTCAGTCACTTCTGTCAATAAATGTACCTGTTTCCCCTGACCAAGTATCACCCAGGCAAACCCATCAGTCTCTCAGTGAGGGGTGTACGGGCCACAATATACTGAATGTTCGTTTAGCTTTGCATTTATCTACCCACTCAACCTTGAGTGTCCCATTGTCATCTGTTGCAGTGGACATACGCACGTGATGACAAAGCACTTGGCCATCAGAGCCTGAATAACCTAAGACTTGAATTACCTGTATAACTGCTTTGTGCTGCCTCCCTAATTGTTCCCTATCACCAGAAACTGATTTGGTTAAAGTGAAATGGAAGGAACAGCTCAGTGAAGTCTTAGGAGACACGGAGCCCTCTTCTCTTTTCCCCAAACCTGATAGTGCACACTCCTTTGCAGGTACAAAGCTAAGCAAATAAGGAATCCTCAATCACGATTTGCAACACACATCGCAGTAAGAATGGGTTACCAAGGATGAAAACAAAAGATTTCCTCCAGTCTTACCAAAACCACGTATATATCAGCGTACACCATGTTCTGCTTTTAGTACAAATGTGTACAACAGTTACCATCCTCCATAAAATCAGTCTTTGAAAGAGGACTTCAAAGACCTTACTTGGGCAAGAAAGATGACTCAAAGTTTAAGAGCCCTTGCTGCTTGCTCCTCAAGAGGACCAAAGTTTGGATTCTGGCACCCAGCTCACAAATGCCTGTAACTCCAGTACCAAGGGATCTAACACCCTTCTCTGGCCTCTGAAGGCAGAGGAATACATTTGACTGACATACACATACACATAAATAAAAATCAAATAGATCTTAAAGAAAGAGAGAAGGGAAAGAGGGAGAGGGAGGGAGGGAGGGAGGGAGGGAG